TGTCAATGTGTTGTAATGGTCAAGGTGTACACACTCTTGCCAGGATCTTAGGCAAAACAGGCCCATCCGTCTTCTAGGCGGCACAAGATCATAGGATTATTATCACTCTCCTATTCTCTGTCAGCTCGTTTTTTTGTCACAAACCATTATAATTCATGGTATATTGTTGGTACTGCCTCTTAAAAAATGCCTCAGGACAAACCCTTTGCATATGAAATTAACACACTCTAATGATTCACATTTTCCATACAGATTGATCTTGATGTATTGAATATTCACTTTTATCGTGATTTTCACAAATTTTGCTCGCTACTTTGTCTAGGCTCTTTCGGAGCAGATCTCCCGACTCGCCCAGTCAACCCTGGCGATGCAACAGGGTCAGACAAAACAATTGCAGCCTCAGAAACACCAAAGACAACAACGGCAAAACATGATGCCTTCACCGAAACTGCCTTCCTCAGTACACCTGACACGACGGTCGCGTCAGCAAGAGCCGACCAGAACTTCTGGAGTTTTGAGCTTAAGTTCCAGTGCAGGTGCCATGCCCCAACGTGCCGGGAGGCTAGCGACCCTCCCACCCCGTATGGGCGCGAGTAGTGGCCATGTGGGGCCTGTCGCCCAGCGACCTGGAAACCGACATGATATGGCAGCGTCCGAAGTCGCGGAAAGGTCGGCATCTTTGCCATCCCGGGGTTCGTGGCGCTATTCTGACAGAGGCTTTGTTGGAGAACAGCTAAACTCGAGATCGTCAGATTTAAGAAAAAGGTGCTTTCCACATTAATCAGGGAGGTATTCTCAAATTATTGTTGCTATTGTTACCTGTACCAGAGACAGCCTGGCTGCAAGCAAAATAAATTATAGAGTTTTTTGCGAAGAAAAGTTGGGTTCTGAGGAATCTCTTGTTTCATAATTGTTGTGCTTATTTCCATTTCGAGTAAAGAGATTCGAAGGTCGATTCCACCAGAAGACGACGACGGATTCCTCTTGACCAGCTGTCGATTGGCTTTACTGGAACATTCATGCTG